ACCCCACTGTAAATCCCACAAGCCAATGCTGTGTATCAGTTAGACAATGAGAATATATTGTAATATGGTTCATCTACAGATGCTACAGAACTTACCTGAGAATTAAGTGTTAAGATAGCAGTCTTTTCATGCAAAAAGAGCTATGTTCCATTAGAAGTATTTAGATTCTTTAGGTTCTTACTAGGAGTCCTCCATTAGGGGTAGGATTTCGTGTCTACTTCCCCTCGTACAAAGAGTAATAGCCTGCAGCATTCTCAGATATACATGGACCTTTTATCCTGCATCACCTTTCTCAAGGTTTAGGGATCATTGTGGAAAGAGGGTGGGAGACTGTAGGATTTAGCATCAGAGAATGAATACAAAGAACTCATGATGGTTATGACAGTATACACAAAACCTTTGCAAACAATAGGCTGCTATGGTCTTGATACTGGTTGTCCCCCAGAAAATCATGTGCTAAGAGCATGGTCCCCAGGATCAATGCTGAGGTAAGGGAACCTTTAGGAGATGAGGCTTAGCAGGTCATGAGAACTCCGCCATCATAAATGGATGAATAATGTTTCAAAGGACCATTTCAGACCTTCCAAGAGCAGATTAGTTGCCAAGAAAAATCAACCTGTCATAACTGAGCAATCTTTGCTCCCTTGTGTCCTTGCACCTATACCTGACCCTTCTGCACATATCCAATTCCTTTTCTGCTTCCCCGTCATGTCTTGATATCTTCAGTTGAATCTTTTGTCTTTGAAGATTACCCAGTAACGGGTGATCTGCTAAAGCAACACAAAATCGTCTAAGACATAGGTTAATAACCCTTTCATGGAAGATTCAAGGAAGATGTAAAAGGTGGCTATGTGGATAATAAATGCCACATAGGAGTTTGTATTCGTCAATTTTATGTGTTGGGAATTTCTAGGACTTAGATTTAACCTTCCCTTTTACTCATTTTCCATAGCTAAACAGATCATGTAAAAGTGACTTCATCTGTTTGTAAATCTCACCTTCACAAGGTGATAGTCATTATTACCACAATACTTTATCCTTATAAGTGTATCATATATATGTTAAGAACTCCCAATTTCTAAACTTGAGACTGGATTACTCAGTGATGTACAGACCACTTGCATGACATTAGCATTTAGGCTACACAGAGACATCTCACAAACATCTGAACTGAGTTTCCCTTTTTCCTCTTCCCATTGCAACCACAGCTGTTTCTCCTCTTGTCTTCCCACTTCTTGTCTTCTCAAAGCAAACCTAATACCTTCGAATTTGATTAGCATTTTAAAATACACAGCTGTCCCTCACTATCTACTAGGGATTGGGTCTAGGAACCCACACAAAATCTGCAGATGTTCAACTCCCTGATATAAAGTGGCATTTTAGTTGCATTAGTTCACTATTTATACACATTATGTATATTTTAATCATTTCTAGATTACTTATATAATAAAATGTAAATTTTATATAAATAATTACTATACTGCATTATTTATAGAAAAATGAACAAAATGTACATTTGTAATACAAGTGAAGTTTTTAACAAATTTAATTGTCCATAGTTGGTTGAATCCAAAAATACAAAACCTATCCTGAGGATTCAAGGGGCAACTGTATTTCTCCATTTAAAAAATTTCATAAGTGGGTTCTATATTTCCACAATCTCCCCCTCACTCTCCTCCTTCCAAGTCTTTCAGCAACTCTCCCCATCAAGTTCATGATCTTTTAAAAGTTTTATTGTTTTATGCATGCTTGTGTATAGACATGCATTCATACACGCATATATATGAATTACTATATAAATACCACCTCCCATTCATTTAATATTGCTCATATGTATATGTTTTGGGGGCTGACCAATTGGGAGTGAAGGTGCATCCTGAAAGAAGATGGATTCTCCCTCTTTCAGAAACAGCTATTAATTGCCTATAGCTCTTCATCTTAGGGTAGGGCCTTGTGAGAATTTCTCCATCCATGCTGGCATGTCAACTGATGTTCATGAGAGACAACTCTATTTGTAACCACTTTACTTTATTCAGATAGCTGATGCCTATGTTTTTATTTTATTTCTACCTAGTCGAAAACTATCCTCCCATCTGACATCTTCCACTCTCGCCACCACCTTCAATGGTATTCTGTGCAACTCTGTCAGAACCACCTTTCTAGGATGTAAACCCCATCATCTCTCTCCTTCACAAAATCATGAAATGCCTTCACACTGTAGGTGGGGTAAGTCCCTATAAAGTCAGATTGCTGCTCACAATCCTCCAGTTGTCTGTTACACTCCTTGTCACTCACTCAGCTTCAGCAATTTCGACCTTCCAGTTCTCCAACATCTAAGTCAGTCCCACATTATAGAATATTATCTTTTTCTGTGTGTAGAACTCTCTTCTTCCTGCAATTCTCCTGTTAATACTACTAATCTCTCAGTTTCCTTCTTAAAAAAAAAAAAAACCAGCACACTTTGTTAAGGCGGTCTCCCCCAATATTTCCCCCAATTGAAATAAGAATGGCCTCTATTATTCTCTCTCACAGAAACTGTCTTCCTCATCACAGCAGGGACAACACTATAATGTGGCACCACAATAGCAACTGACCAAGAACAGATGCAAAACATTTGGATGCTAGCCTGAGAACTCAAGGGTGTGAGGTCAAGAAACTTGGACTGAGTAATCTGTTTCTGGGCCTCTTGTTCCTTGTCTTTATGTTGAAGAGGTGAGAGCAGATGGGTTCATGCAAAAAACTATCACTTGATTATGAAAAACAGCTAAGGACTCTTCCATCACAGAGCTTCCATTCTATTAAGGAAAACAAATAAAAAGACCAAATAACTACGTGTTATGTTCTACAAAGAAAATCGATATATAAACACATGGTGGTAAAGGACTTTTGAGGTTGTAGGGTGTGCGTGTGTGTGTGTGTGTGTGTGTGTGTGTGTGTGTGTGTGTGTGTGTGTGTGTGTGTGTTGTATGCACATGGAAAGGTATATCCATGTAGAGGGTGTAAATATGTGCTAATGTGTGTTGCGTTGAGAAGTCAGTGGTTGGAGTATCTTCCTCAGTCATTCTCTAGCTTCCTTTTCTTGAAACCGTGTTTCCACTGTATCTTGAGCTCACTCTTTAGCTAAGAATACTACCCAGGAAGCTCTAAAGATCTGTCTGGCTCCATGTGTTGGCCATAGTACTGGAGTTGCACATGTGCTGGCTACGCCCAGCTTTTTGTACTGGTTCTGTGGATCTGAACTCCGGTTCTCAGGCTTACATGGCAAGCACGTTATCCATTGAATCACCTCCTAAATCAGAGGTCATAATGAGAATAAACAGCAGCCCAAACGAATAATACGTAAATCTCTTTTTGGCTAAATAGTCTATGATTCTGTGTAAAAATATGCTGAGTTTTCTAAGCACTATAAAGGGAATTGATGCTTCATTAAAACTGATACTCAGTTCTTTGTTTATTTGGTGAAAGGATATGAAAGTGATGTTTTTTATTTTCTCAGAATAATACTAGTATATAAAACCAAACTCACAGAGTTGTCTGAAAATAAAATATGATAATAAATTAATAATTATAACATTTATAGCATAATCACCATTTTGATTATATACAGCATTTAAAACCTTTAAATTATAGATAATAGTACCTCTTCTGGAGACATTGGGGATATTATTAGAGCAGGATATATAAAAATTATGTTTTAAGGTTTTTTTCCTTGTGTTATTACTTATTTAATATTTAAAGTATTAGGCTTCATTGGGACATTTTCTAATGTACATGTGTCAATACACTTTGCACTTAATATTCTCTCCCACTACCTTCCTCCTACCCCTCCCCCCTTCTGTGAGTCCTCCTCCTCCCTTCCAGTCATTCTGTTTCCTGCTTTCAGTTTACAAACATGCCATTATCTTTTTTTTTGCTCTTTTTTTTATTCCTCCTCCTCCCCTGAAAAATCCTCCTTTTAGTTTTTATTTTTAATTTTTTAGTTTTTCGAGATAGGGTTTCTCTGTGTAGCTTTGGAGCCTATCCTGGCACTCGCTCTGGAGACCAAGCTGGCCTCTAACTCACAGAGATCCGCCTGCCTCTGCCTCCTGAGAGCTGGGATTAAAGGCATGTGCCACCAATGCGCAGCTCCTCTTCTTAGCAACACCTAAATTCAAATCTAGATTCTACACAAGGGAGAAATATATGATATTTGTCTTTGTAACTTTGGTTGATTACCTCAAGTTCCATCCATTTTCCTAAAAATATCAAAATTTTGTTCTATTTCATGACTGAAAAACTCCATTGTGTTTCCAGGTTATATTTCCTTGTTTTACATTTTATTTCATTTTGATCTGCATATTCATATTGTACCTCATTTTCACTATTCTTATATTGATGGATATTACATTGATTCCCATTCTTCTCTTTTGAAAATAGTGCAGCAGTAAACATATATGGACCTGAATTAAATTGTGATTCTATTAACTAAAAGCTCCATGCTCTATTTACTTTTTGCTGTCCTCACTGGTTATAATACAATGCATGAAATATAATAAGTTCTCAAAAGCATCTAATTGTTATTAACATTGCTTTTATTCTGCTCTAACCACATAAAGGTAAACTAGAAAGGAATATGAATTCTGAGAATAAGTCTCTCACTTTCTGTCTCATTCTTTTATATTCCTCCTCAGGTAAATGATGGAAAATAACACATACCAAAAATTTGTCTGCATGCCAAATATTTCAAATTTCTCGATAGTTAGTTTCTCTACAGTAGCCATAAGATCCTGGATAAAAATGTATAGATTGCATAGAGAGAGAATTAAAGAAACAGAAATTTAAAGCCAACCCTGAGAAGTTTAAAAAGGTAAAGGAATGCAGACATACCCACTGCCCCCTACAAGCTGACATATGACAGACATAGGTAAATGCCATTAGTCACAGAGGACTCTCCAAGAGGTAAACATTTGAAGCCAGTTTTCACATAAACCATCACTGCCATTCTGGCCATGCCACCTTACCTAACTGAAATTGATTGGAGACATTCCCGCATGTTTGCATTACCTCCGGGCTGTTCCATCCTAAAGGATATAGTGCACAGCCTGAGCTTATCAGCAACCCTGGAAAGCAAAGCACACACACAGGTAGAAAAATAGAGCAGTCTTTCTGTCATCCTAACATCTTCCCTGTACTGCTTCACGTTAAATTCTTCCTCCCCCATTCAAGTCTGACACTTATTTCTAAATCGCTGCATTTCCTTTATACTGTCAATTCAGCAAGATTACTGTGTCATTTCATAGGTAGTGGAGTGAGATAGATAGATAGATAGATAGATAGATAGATAGATAGATATAGATGGAGAAGTGAAAAACTCATAAAGACAGAATGGTATAGGAAATTAATTAAGATAGATTGATTTACTCTTACATACACTTATAGTCACTTTTTCTCCCTTGGTCATACAAGGTCTTATTATGAGGCCTATTCTGGCATCAAACTCTCTATGAAGCTATATAACAGAGCTACAAACTGCATCCATGTTGAGGATGCTTCATGTAATAAACAAGGTACTATACTCCCTCTTTTTCAAAATATTATTTCAACCAAAACCCAAGCCTTCTTTGGCTTCTATACTCCTGTAAAGATTAACTTTGACAGTCAACTTGGTGGAATTTAAAATCACGTAAAAGACACACTTCCAGACATGTGTGTATGACCCTTTCTAGGGAGGCTTAACTTAGATGGGCATTTCTACCCTGAATGCAGATCATACCAGTTATTCGCTGTGTTGGTGTGCTAGACTGAACAAAGAGGGGAAAATATGAGCAGCTGCATTCATCTCCCTCTGCTTCCTGACTGCAGATACAATGTGACCTACACTCCAGAAACCACTGCTGGGTAAAACAGCTTCTAATTGAGAGCTGAAAAAAAAAACTTGTTTATGGTTCTGTAAGTTATTTCTTCACAGAACAAGAAAAGGAATTAAGAAAACCCCATTCACTTATCTCCCATTGGCTTAGGCTTTTTGGTCATTATAGGGAAATCCTATGGACCTTTAATAAAAACAACTCTTCAAAACACAGTTGTAAGTCTGGATTTACTTGCCATCATACTGTGCTAGGAGCACCAGACTCACATTTTATAACCCACAACCCTACCAGGCCTTTAGTGGCAGGAATTTGGAACAAACATTGGTACTTGACATCAAATGAAATCAAATTCATTGGTTAGCAAGTAATGGGTGCCACTGTAGCCAAACCTCAAGAAATAAGCATGACTAGATTTTGAATTCTGAAAGTTTTAATTAATGGATACTGGTGCATAATGGTAGTCTACGTACTTTTGGAACCTAAGGTAGGAGAATTATGTTTCAGACTGGGTTACGTGGCATGTTCAAGGGGCTAGCCTGACAACTTATGGAGATTGTGTCCTGAAATAAAGACAGGATAAACAGGCATGAAAAAACATAGAATTGCTGATATAATTCACAGATGGCACAGACATTGGGAAAAAATAAGAATAGGAGGTAGAATCAGTCTCTATGATTGAAATCTGGGGAAGTAAAGCAAAGCAACTGGTAGAGCAAATGATTAGGTAGAATAGTGACCTGAGCCAGATACATCAAAGACAAATCCCTTCCTGTTGATAAAACTGAAAACATAGAATGCAAAAGCTGGTTCCTTTTGATAGGTAGCTGTTCCCAATTTCCTAATGTTATGCATATTCTTCTTTTCCACTGAGAAGACTCAAGTGAATCTGGACTATTTGCAACCAAAATGGTCCCACCTAAGGGACGAGGAAAAGACACCTGTAAGGAACACCTGTGCTGACAGGAAGCAAGAGACTTGTAGAGCATGGGAACAGATGGGTGAGCCGTGGTGAGTGACTGAATGGCAGACCTGCAAGTTCCAGAGTCCTGATGTCAGCCAGACAGTGAAAGGAAGGCCATCCCATGAACTTCTGGCCTCATTTTCACTTTTCATTCTTCACTCACAGATATCCTAAGAAGTTCAAGAAGCCTACTTTGTCTGAAGAAGGTATCAAATTGAGCAGGTTGAGTTTTTCTGGCATGTAGCTATCAGCTTTTCTCTGTCCCCAGTGAGGCTACAGGAGAAATGAAGGATTTTTTTTTTTTGTGGTTTTTCCAGACAGGGTTTCTCTGTAGCTTTGGAGCCTATCCCAGTACTGGCTCTGGAGACCAGGCTGGCCTCAAACTCACAGAGATCTGCCTGCCTCTGCCTCCTGACTGCTGGGATTAAAGGCCGGCGCCACCAACATGAAGGATCTTAACATATAGTAGAAAGGATTTAAATACAGAAAGAGGAAGTACTTTCCTGACTGACAGTGAGAAGTATAGAAAGTTAAGAAAGGCTCAATTAGCCCTTTCCGTGGACTCACCGCAGACCAGGTGAGCCACCCCTTGCTTTTACCCAATTCTCGTCCTAAGCGCCATCCACCCAGATCCCTCCAGGCTCGTCCCTGCTTGAAACAGACACGCCCAGGCAGGGTGGAGCTTCCTGAATCTGTCTCAGTTCAGGACACTCTTCCTTCCCTTTCCGTGGACTCACCGCAGACCAGGTGAGCCACCCCCTGCTTTTACCCAATTCTCGTCCTAAGCGCCATCCACCCAGATCCCTCCAGGCTCGTCCCTGCTTGAAACAGACACGCCCAGGCAGGGTGGAGCTTCCTGAATCTGGCTCGGTTCAGGACACTCTTCCTTCCCTTTCCGTGGACTCACCGCAGACCAGGTGAGCCACCCCTTGCTTTTACCCAATTCTCGTCCTAAGCGCCATCCACCCAGACCCCTCCAGGCTTGTCCCTGCTTGAAACAAACACGCCCAGGCAGGGAAGAGCTCCCTGAATCTGGGTACAGGCCACTCTTCCTTTGGTTTCCGTGGACCGATCCGCCAGGAGAGTGGGGAGACTACGAAGAGAGGCTAGAAAATCCAGGGCCTGGAACATTAAAATCCTGGCCCACACACCCTACAGC